TGTGTGTGTGTGTGTGTGTGTGTGTGTGTGTGTGTGTGTGTGTGTGTTGGGAACTTTAAAAATAAAACCAGGTTTCATTGATGTGTTTCAGGTTAGCCCACCTAGCCTGGCACTCACAACCCTGCCTCAGCATTCCAAGTGCTGAGATTACAGAAACGTGCCACCCCATTCAAGCCCAACACAGTTTTTCTCAACCACTCAGAGCAGCTCAGCATCTGGAACAATGCCAAGGCACCTAGTAGGCACCTAGAAAACATTTGTTGAGCAAATATACACTTCTCTGTCTTAATGAGACAGGTTAAAATGATGGAGCCTGACAGTCGCAGGCAAGCTTCAAGCCCAGCCCTCCCACTCTTTGTTCTTTGATCCTGAAGTACTTTAACGGGGCGGGGGGGGGGGGGAGGTAGATTCTTCAGCACAAAAATATTATCTACCTCACATGTGTCATGAGGGTTGAATAAGGTCCCCTCCAGGCCACCGGGCTGGCCTGCAGTTGTCACGCGTAGCTATGATTAACATTGCTCTGTCTCAGGGTATCGGGGTCCATGTTTGCAGGTGTTTGATCACAGATCTCCCTACAGCAAAAATGCCTCTCTTCTCGGGGACTGTCCTAGTTTTGTCTCTGTTCCTGTGATAAAAAGCAACTATTTCAGTTCACCATTCCAGGTTAGGGTTCGTCACTTTGGGAAAGTCCCCGTGACAGGAAGTCAAACACTTAGGATCCATAGTAAGGAGTAGAGAATGTGGGGCAGGAGAGGTGGCTCAGTGGTAGGAATGCTTTCTGGTCTGGGCAATGGTGGCACACGCCTTTAGTCCCAGCACTTGGGAGGCAGAAGAAGGCGGACCTCTGAATTTGAGGCCAGCCTGGTTTACAGAGTGAGTTCCAGAACAGCTACATAGAAAAACCCTGTCTCAAAAAACCAAAACCAAAAAACGAACAAACACACAAAAAAGGAAAAAGAAAAAAAAAATGTTTTCTGTTCTTGCTCAGGTTCATTCCCTGCACCCACACTGGGGGTGGGGGCTCACAACCATCTGTACCCCCAGTTCCAGGGGATTCAACACTCTCTCTTGGCCTCCGTATGTGCCAGACATATACGTGGGTACACAAGCATGCGTGTAAGCAAAACACTCATAATTTTTAAAAAAAAATGAAAAGGAAAGAAGAGCTGAGAGCTGTGCATGGTGGCACACACCTGTAATTCCAACACTCAGGGAGGCAGAGGCAGGAGGATCTCTGTGAGTTCAAAGCCAGCCTGGTCTACAAAGCGAGTCTAAAACAGCTAGGGCTACACAGTGAAACCCTGTTATGAAAAAGCAAACCAAACAAAAAAGAGAATGAGCCCAGGCATGTTTATATTCTCTCAAGCCTCTCTCCACATTAACATAGCTCATGGCAAATGGCGCTGCTCATATGGGCCGCGTGAAAGGATTCACAGGGCGTGCTGACAGCGTCATGACAGACTGGGGCCGGCCTCCTCAGTGGCAAACACAAACCAGGGGGGAAAGCAGGGAAAGGGTTTGGACAAACAGTTTGCTGAGAAAGACACAGTCCTGAACTGATAGAATGAGGCCCAACCCATCTTAAAGTACATCTTAAAGTCACTCGGAGAGGCCTCCCAGCACCCGCCTGTGCTGTGGTCTTCCCGCTGCTGCCGCAGAGTGTGGAGAAGGGGGTGACAGTGTTTGGACAGGCTTCACTTCACCCAGAGAGGCTCACCCTTCTTCAGCCCCCACCTGAGGTTGGTGTTTTGCAGAATGCCTGTGTCTTGGGCTGCCTGTCTGTAACCCTCCTCCACCCGGACTCCATTCCCACTCATGACCTCCCTTGGGCCCGAGGAGGTCAGAGACATTGTCTTTTCTCAGTCCCTGGAACACAAAACTGCCCAGCAAGCATTCCTCGAATGAATGAAATTACTTAAAAACCTTAGAGCCATTTAAGAAACTGGTAAAGATCGCCACCTATAGGCTGACTGTTAACACCACACTTTGGCCTTAGAGTTGTGTTTTGTGCTGGAGTCAAAGTCTCTGGTTCCTTAAAAGATGGTTTCACTCTTCAATCCCGGCAGCCATTTACCTCTTAATGGGCTTTAAATAGTAGGTGCTGACAGTTGTTTAGTCATTTGGTTCTTTCTGTGACTGTTAACAGAGGGCTCCAGAGATAGAGATACAAGTGGGTTCCTGTGGGTAAAATTGGCCAAGTGGGAAGCAATCAGTGGCAGCGCACTGGCACTTTGTCCTGTCTCGAGCAGTCCGAGGTGGTTCTGTCCGCTTTGTGGTTGAAGGAGCAAAGCCTATGGAAGGGAAGATGTGTTCCCTTAAGCGCCGCATAGCTTTGATTTAAAGGAACACAAACGCTCTAGGACCCCTCGATGCCTCTTCCATGACCTTTGGCTTTGGTTCCCACCTTGTGCTTAGAAGCCATTGTCTCTTCTTTCCAGAGTCCTAGGGACCTAAGCATCCTTGAGGGTTTGAATTCTCCTGTGGATATTTGTCTGTAGCTGTGTGTGTGTGTGTGTGTGTGTGTGTGTGTGTGTGTACTCACCAGCATTCACACATGTGCATACCAGAGGCTAAGACAGTTGTCTTCCTCAGTCACTTCCGACCCGCCCTTTTGACACTGGGTCTCACCCTGAACCCAGAGTTCCCCCATTGCCTACGCTGGCTAGCCAGAGAGCCCCAGGATCCTCCTGTCTCTGTCCATCAGACACCTCCCCCACCAACACTAACCTTTCTCTGTGGATACCGGGGATCTGAACCCAGGTCCTCGTGTACTTTATCAACTGAGGTACCTCCCCAGTGCCCGCAGGTGCACTTTCCTATTTCTGGAAACTGGAATCATTGATGTCAGGGTCCAAGGCTTCCGCATCCTTTCACCTGGGTGCTCCACATCACGATGAAAAGAGTCTGTTTCCTGTCTTTTGATTTCCTGTCTGGCTCCCGGATTCTGTTTATACACCCTTGGGAGGTTTGCCCTGCTGCCTTCTTTTTTTTCCTTAGCTTTCCCTGTCTTGTCCTAACCCTGACTATAAGCCTAATACATAAGTGGCATAGAATCAGGACTCTTGCTTCTGCAGAGCACACAGATCATTGTCTGTCACTCATGTCCTGACAGTGGGGACAAGCTAGGGGAGCCACGGAAAGACAGCTATCCTAAGTTCGATATGGAGCTGAAGCCACCAAGCTGTATACTGGGGGGAGGAGGGAACCAAAAAACAAAAAAAAACAAAAAACAAAAAAAAAAACCCACATAGGTTTTATTGCCTTCCCTCACCCCTCATCTCCTCTCCCCTCTTGGGTTTCCTTTCATATTTTATAGCTTATACCTACATAGACATACAGACAGGATCCGCATATGAGAGAACATGCGTGCTGGTTAGTTTTATGTCAACTTGATACAAGCTGAAGTCATCAGAGAGGAGGGAACCTCAATAAGAAAATGCCTCCATTTGGCCAGCCTGTAGGCAAACCTGGAGGACATTTTCTTAGTGGCTGATGTGGGAGGGACCAGAGCATTGTGGGTCAGGCCACCTGGGCTGGTGGTCCTAGTTATTTAAGATAGCCCATGGGGAGCAAGCCAGTAGGTAGCAGCCCTCCATGCTCTCTGCATCAGCTCCTGCCTCCAGGTTCCTGCCCTGTTTGAGTTCCTGCCATGACTTCCCTCAGTCATGGATTGTTACCTGGAAGGGTAAGCTGAAGTAAACCCTTTCCTCTCCAAGTTGCTTTAGTCATGTGTTTCATCACAGTGATAGTAACCCCAACTAGAATGTGTGCTGCTTTTTTTTTTCTGAATCTGAGTTATCTCAGTTAATATAATATATTCTAGATCTATCCATTTCCTGTCAATTTCATTTTTTTTTTTGCAGCTGCATAAAACTCCATTGAGAGTCTGTATCACATTTTTATTCTTCAGTTGATGAACATATAGCTAGTTCCATCCCTTCTGTTGATGGACACTTAGCTGGCTCCACCCCTTCTGTTGATGGGCATATGGCTGGCTCCACCTCCACCATTATAGATAGTGCAGCCATAAGCATGAATTTGCAGGTTTCTCTGTGGCAGGAAATAGGACTCTGACCATTGTAAATAAGTTCCTTAAGTCTGAGACAGAGAGAGAGAGCAGAAAAAGTTAAACCTAATGCATTCGCCGAGGCCACTCTCACCTTGGCTAGCCAGCTGTTAGTCTTTAACCTATATTTGCTTTCCTTAAAGCACAACTTTGGTTAGAAATAGGGATTACAGTCTCATTCACTTAATTCTGAACATTTTTATATACCCATATTTCTTTTGCAGTGAAATTGGCCTTGTTTTCTTAGTTCATATTATTTACACACCACGTGTAAGAAAATGGCTGTAGCATGCAGCTGTGGGGCTGGGAGGGGGCACACCCCAGGTGTGCTTTAGAAACTGCTTGGGGGTGCTTGGGAGGTGGCTCAGCAGGCACAACACTTACAGCGCATGAGTGGGGACTGGAGCTCAGTTCCAAAGGCACGGTGGCTGTGGTGGTGCGCCTGTCAGCCCAGTGTGAGGGAGCTGGAGATGGGGGACTGTGGCACATGCTGGCCAGCCATGCTGGGTGAAAGAGTGAGTGAGCTCCAGGCTCAGTGAGGGACCCTGCCTCCATGTGTGAGGTAGAGAACAATCAAGGAAAAGCATGACAGTCTCCTCAGACCTCCACGTGAGCACACCACATGTGTAGCCACACACAGGCAAGCACACATCTATACATACACACACACCACAAACACACAGACATGTGCAAAAATATACTATACGTACATGTAAATAAATACTGTTTTTATTTGGCTTGTCTTCACAGCAAACCCAAGGAGCCTGCATTCAGTCCAGGTAAGTTCTGTTTCCTTGGACTTGAGGGCTGGGGGACCTATAATTTAGACCTTGACTGAATGGTAAATAGAAAATGGTGGCCTCAGAGTCAGACCACGGGTACTCAGAAAACAGCTCTGGCATCTGTGGGGACCACCAAGCAGCCACTGGCTGCTCAGATAACAGCAGCTCGCCAATAAACTGGTAGAGACGAAACCCCTACCTGCCCCTTGTCACACCCACAGGGACAAGTCAGTGAGGGTTAGAGCAGAAACTTCCCTGGTAAAGATGCCTCTGTCTTAGCCCTGCTCTGCCTACCTCTCCTGCCCTTCCCAAAGCTGTCCCAGCCTGTCCAAAACGCCTGCTCCCTTTCTGCCTCTAATTTCCTAAACTGCACCAGTACTTCGTAGATAGCCATCCATATATCTCTCTAAATCACACTTCATAAGAAAGCAGATGCTATGTTCTCTTTTTTAACGTATCAACTGAATTTTTATTTTTTGTCTTTTTTTTTTTTTTTTTTTTTGAGATAGGATTTCTCTGTGTAGCCTTGGCTGTCTGGCTTTGTAGACCAGGCTGGCCTTGAACTCACAGAGATCCACCTGCCTCTGCCTCCCGGAGTGCTGGGATTACAGGTGTTCACCACCACTCCAGGCTGTATCAATATAGTTAAAACATGCAAAAAATAATTACAGGTATGTAATTAAATAAATCATCTGATTTTCATTTTCTCATTCCCCCCCCCCCCCGCCCTGGTGCAAAATAAAGACTAATCCGTGAAAATGTAATTACCACAAACCCACAGGCGTGCAACCTGAGCGTACATGTCAGGATGCCTGAAGTGTCCCCTCGTTCCCTTGTCCTCTGGGGGGAGGGGAGCACGGCTGGCCGGTGGGCACCCCGGCAGACAGGCCGGCCACACTTTCGGTACCCGCCATCTCTCTGTCTTAGCCCTTCAGTCTCCGAAACCCCAAGGGAAGAGCCGGGTGACGCACTGCAAAGGTAGGCAGAGCTTCCCAGCCCACAGCTCTCCGCACAGGGCTGCTGCCTGCGTCCAGGGACTGGGCTCCCACAGGCAGGGGCTTCCACGCATGAGGCTTCTGTGCTCTGTCACCTGGATGGGCTTTAGCACCCGGCTGTGATTTGGATTGCCACTCCTCACTGGCTAGCTACAGGTCTAAGAGGAGCCGAAGAGAGCTGAGGCGGCCCTGGAGGGCCCACTGTTTGGCATGAAGCCCCGCACTGCTGGCCTCTCCCCACTAGCACCTCTAGGTTTGGTGACTGTGTGTTGTGCTCCTAACACGTCTGAAAACAGCGTTGCTTCCCCGTGTTTGTGGTGACTGTAGATGTAGGCCGTCTGCGTTGACAGTGCCCGATGGCACACGGCTAAACATCGCTTTGGCCTGGCCAGAAATTTTTAATGGTGAGGTAAAGAGACGTTGGTCATAGGCCTTCCTTCCTGGTGCCCACGTGGCTTCGATATTGCTCATATGTGGACTCTCTGCCCCTACGTCTTTCGGAAATGCCATTCTATAGGTGTTAGTCCTGGCACCCTGCCAGATTGATTCACGTTTCACAGAGAGCTGGTGGGGTCCTTTCAAATCTCACTTTGAACCCCATCGTTCCCACTTCCCTTTTCTCTAAGATGGGGCTGGTGCCTGCACTTTTTAAGTCTCCATTTGTGCTCGCCAATGAGTGAACAGAGACTTGGGTGAGAAAAGGAGGAAAGAGGCTCAGAAGAGAAGGGAGGGGAAGGGCTGGAGGTGAGGTGAGGGAAGACAGGCGGCGAGGTTCGGAGAGATGCTTCTGGCCTGAGAGGAGAATCCTCGTGGGATGGACATGAAGATGAGGTCAGTTAAAGAGGCAGCGTAGCTAGGGCTGCTAGACAGAGCATAAGCAAGCAGGCAAAGGGCCACAGCGAGGCAAGCATTGGATGAAGCATCTCTGGGCCCCTTGGATCGGCAGCAGCATGTGAGGTGACTTGAGGGAGCAGTAAGCGAGCCTGCAGTGATGGCAGGCACGGGTGGACCAGTCCGGGTACAGCCAGGGAGGATGGTGCCCACGGCAGGGACATCCCGACCATCACTGGGGCAGTGGCTGGAGCAGCGTGCGTGGGAGTGAGCACCTTCACGGCTCTCACCACAAAGTCGAGCTTCCTTAAACCCAGACTGAGGCATGTCATGTGCACTGGGATCTGAATCGCATGCACGGGGTGACAAAAAAATAAATAAATGTTGCATGTGCTGTTTGAAAGTCTTTAGGCGTTGAAGTGCTCTGATTGTCACTCAATTCGTCCTCATCGTATTCTGTCTGAGGTGGTTTTCTGTGGGACTGGTGCAGGTTTTTCAGGCTGCCCCTGCCTGGCTTAGATACCACTGATCCTGGATTCTCCAATCTGTAAGAGCATCAGAATGGAGGGCCTGACCCCTAACTCTGCATAAGTCTAGGAGACATTTTCCCCCTCATATTCTAGCCTTAAAACTCTAGTCAGAATACTGGGAGTGGGTTGGATTGGGGTGGAGGGGCAGAAGTTGCCTCAGGTCAGCACTTCTTTTTTAATTTTTTTTTTTTTTTTTTTTTTTTTTGCCCCTTTTTTTTTTTAGAATACCAAAAGTAATTTTAGGGGCCTAGAGAGATGGTTCAGCACCTAAGAGCACTTGCTGCTCTTACAGAGGATCCAGGTTCAGTTTCCAGTACCCACGTGGCAGCTCACAACCATCTACAACTCCAGTCCCAGGGGATCTGATGCCCTCTCTGGCCTCCACACACCAGGCATGCCCGTGGTTCATAGGGTCATACACATAATAATAATGGACCTTCCAACTCAAAAACAACGTTGTTTTAATAGAAACAGTCAATCTCGAAAACTGCCCTCCCCCCTCTCTCCCCTCTCTCTGTCTCTTCCTTCTCACTGTCTCTCCCCTCTCTCTGTCTCTCCCCTCTTACTGTCTCTCCTCACACTCTTTTTCCCCTCTCCTTCTCCTTCTCTGTTTGATCTTCTACTTTTTTTTTTCGTTTTCCTTTTTTAGCTTCTCTCTAAGCATTTTTGTTTTAAATTTTTAAAACATTTCACTTTTAAGATTTATTTATTTAGCTGGGCGGTGGTGGCACACACATTTAATCCCACCACCAGGAAGGCAGAGGCAAGCGGATCTCTAAGTTCGAGGCCAGGCAGGTCTACAGAGTGAGTTCCAGGACAGCCAGAGCTACACAGGGAAGTCCTGTTTTAAAACTGTATATTATTTAGTATTTTTACTGCATTCTTGAGTGCGCTTCTGCTGACTTAGCATTCTTATTCTTTGCATATGCAATAACTGGACAGTGTAAAAGATCCACGGGAGTATATTTTACACTCGTGTAACAAATCGATTTGATACTGAGATTACATGTGTGTTGGACTCAGTAACAGACTTAAAGTGTGTTTCTTCATTAGTTGTGATTCTTTGTGGTACGCTTTCTTCTGAGGATAACATATCTCCACCAAGATGCCACAGGGAATGTCTGTTGGACTCCAGTTCAACAGACCTAGACCTTTTACAAATTCCCATGTGTGTTCTGAACTCGAGCATGAAGCTCAAAGTTAATGACGACACAAAACTTTTATTTCAAGATATTTAATGTGTTAGATTTTTTATTTGAATGTAATGTTTATTTTCGTGTGTGTGTGTGTGTGTCTCTGTGTGTGGGTATGCGCGCATGTACACAAGCACCCGAGGATGCCAGTGGAGGGCAGCAGATCCCTTGGGTTGTTGTGAGCCATCTGATGTGGGTGCTAAAAATCCTACTTGGGTCCTCTGGAAGAACAGCGCACGCTCTTAACCCCTGAGTCGCCTCTCCAGGCCCTGTGTGTGGGGTTTTATCTCCTCGGGAACACTGATTGCAGAGGACATGGGGGGGGGGGGGGGGGGGGGGGCCCCCAAGGGGCAGGCGCTTTCCCCGGGGCCTGACTGCCTGAGTTTGCTTCCCCGAGTCTTACGTGGTGGCAGGAGGGAACCAACCCCCACAAGCTGTTCTTCGACCATCAGTCACATGTTCGATGTGACCCCTGTACCAACCGACACATTAAATAAGCAAATGCATTAAAAAAAAATCTTTTAGGGTACACAAGGGAAATTGCCACGTGTGCATTCACAGGCTAACCAGAGCATGGTGTTTGCCTTCAGGGTGCCCAGCTATCTCACTGGCATCTTCATTGTTTTTGTAGAAGAAGGATATGTAAAAATGTTTCTTCGAGGCCGCCCCGTCACCATGTACATGCCCAAAGACCAAGTGGATTCTTACAGTTTGGAAGCAAAAGCTGAATTGCCGACGAAGCGTCTGAAGCTGGAGTGGGTGTATCCTTTCCTCGCCGGCCAGATTGTCGGTAATGGCTCCTGGTGAAAGTTAAATCTTTTACTGGTAACTTTTCTTTTTTTTTTAATCAAATTTTCAGGGCAAGTTCTCATGATTGAGGTTCCTGTTCAAATGCCACACCCATTGTCTTCCTGAAGCGACAACATGGGAATGATCATTGCACAGATGAATGGTTTTGGGGCCAGGGGAATAGGAGTTTATGGCCTTCTTACCAATCTAAAAGAGCAGTTAAGTAGACAGACACAGAGAAGCAGCGAGCTTAGTAAAGATAATCAAAGCTGAGTAAAATTTAGGGCTCTAATGATCATGATAGAGCTGTTTGTTGCTCTGGCTTTTTTGAGACAGAGTCTTACTGTGTAGCCTTGCCTTTCACGCACAGCAATCCTTCTGCCTCAGTCTCCTGAATGCTAGGGTTGTAGGGATTAGCTGCCACCCCTCATAAGCACTGGTGGTCTTTCCCCACCATTCAGTGTGTTTAGCTCATTTTCACTGTGGAAGGAGGCGGCAATAGTCCCTTCCCCTCTGCCAAGATTTTACACTCAAATAAATACATAGTGATTGTCTGCTGCTCACTGATTAATGTCATGCTCTGATGACAAACTCCAAGACACTGGTTTAAACTGATGCTGCAGAGCCTCTCTCGACAAGAATTAATATTTAAGATTATGGAATCATACTCATGGAAATCAAAAGATTAGATGTTGGTCGGCCATCTATTTTAGCACATGCCACGGAAGGGAAATGCCTCCCCTTTAAATTGAGCAGTTTATGAAATCTAATCCAGAAAACATATTTAAAGAAGGCTTCCTTATTTGTGTTTTAAAAGACATGAAACAACAATTTTTGCGCCAAATAAATGGCAGATATATATATATATATATATATATATATATATATATATACATATATATATATATATTTTTCCACTCAAGTTCAAGTGATGCTTTGCTTTCAGAAATACACATGTTAAAATTTTGACACTGGTCAATGAGATGGCTCAGTGGCTAAAGGCCCTTGCTACCAAGACTGAAGACCTGAGTTCAATCCCCTAGACCTACTTGGTGGAAGAAGAGAACCAGCTCTTGCAAGTTTATCCTCTGACCTCCACATACACACACACACACACACACACACACACACACACACACACACACACAC